GAAATAATCATACGTGCTAGTCTCACTCCGTAACACGGGTTTTCAAAATTATTCATGACATATGCATTATCAATGTTTCATATACTTGCAGCGGAATCATAGTTCAGACAAGTTTCATTAGAAACACTTCATAGTTCCCCATGATTTATGGTTCACAATTCCATACAATTTAAACTCCATGGAAATAATTTAAATGTCATAACAAAACAAGAACGAAATAGTTTTCAAAACAAAGTGTTCCCCTCCCTTATGTGACATATCAGAGCAAGACCTTCTAGACTCAACGGAAATAAATCACACTCCAAAGCTATTCTTCTAAGCCTTTAGAGACTACTCTTGATTACCTACATGTTACCCACGTAAAGGCAACATTCAAGTAGAAAGAGTGAGTTTATCACAATCATTCTGTAAGATGTAAGTAATAGACATAGCAAAATAAGCCTAAAGTATCGCAACATGACCTCAACATTATTATATTCCAAGTATATCAACAATCATACAGATTCAAAAATGCAATGCAATATGATCAATTCAAGAACCATGCAATGCCACATAAGATGTAGTGCAAGGACATAAACTCATGTATGTGGTACCAATTCTTCTTGATGGACACTGGGCCACCACCCTCCAAAGACCCCAATCATAGGATCGATCCCCACTTGGAACCGGAGTAAATCATAGACATTCCAAATCCACACAGTGGGATTGAGACCAAATCACTGGACCAACGTCCTAAATCATCAAACAGACCAAAGCTATCCCATGAATGCATGATGCGCAACAAAAAATATAAACGATCACAACTAGTCATACACATCATCATTCATGTATTAATCAACATCATACATAAACATAATCATGTATACTCATATAATCATCGTGTATACTCATGAAATCAAGACATCGTCAGAACATCATCACATAATCATAATAACAACATATCACCATAATTAAACAAATCATCATTGTAATTCAACGTGGGGAGTCTATTATTACTCTAACTTAGTTCTCATAAAAATACTCCTAAGTCTTCGTTTTATTTTACCTAATTATAGTATACTATGTTAGCTACACACAACTTCGAACGACACTTCATTCTGAGCTCTAGAACTAAAGGTATGCTCGTTTCTAGATTTCAATCCAACATTTCAGATCTGCCTCCCATCGCCCGACGAAACCCATCCATCGCCCGACGACACATCACAGAAACCAACACCCAATTTTCCTTCCTTGGCTTGCCCCACCTTCGCCTGGAGAAACACTGTCGCTCGACGACACAGAACCCTTCGCCCGACGATCCTCTCCGAACAGGGTTTTCCTGTTTTGCGATTCTGCAGTGTTTCAGACTACTTTTTCATGCAATTTCAGTATGCTATAGGCCCTAAAACACTATACAATCCTAGGGAACCATCAACTAACAACAATTTGATAAAATACCTCAATTATACACAATTCCATCATCACAATTCCATCAAATCTTAACCCAACAACATCAAATCACCAATGTCAATACTAAGGGCAAAATTCTACAACTATCTACCACTTAGATCAATATAATAATCAGATAAAAACCCCTTACCTTATTATTTCGAGTGATTGATTTTGTTCTTCGTGCCTCTTACAGTGATTCTCCAAACCTCTGTGCTCTAGCCTCTTCTCTTGCTCTTCTCCCAATATTTCGATAGCACAAAATGAACCGTATCACTCTCTATATTTATATGTTATCACAAGGACCCCTAACTTCTTCCTCAATTGCCCTCACTTAGTCACCCTATATTTACCATCACGTCCACACTCTTCCTACTAATTACCAACATACCACTCTAACTAAAATAACTCTATTTAAATAATTATTCCTATTATTCTATTCTAGATAATAACCCAAATAGTTACCAAATAACCATCTAATTATTCCAATGCATCTAATCCCTTCATTCATATCACATGTTCCACATCATAAGCAATCATATGCCAACAAATCATACATATAATCCTATAAAACATCAATTATTTGTAAACACTCCTAATAATTCATTAAATAAATAACTTCTAAAAGTTGGGGTGTTACACGATATAACTTTGTTCAAGCAAATCATGAGATCTCAGAGATATATGTGTAACAGTTGACTTGGTATATGTTTCACTATCGGATTAGTAAGCAAATATATGAGTGAACCAAGAGTGTCACATATGAAGGCTGCAAGAAGAATCTTGAGATATTTGAAGGATTCGATAAACTGTGAAATACTATTTCGACGATATTTTGAAGACAAAGAAGCAATAGTTAATTGCTTTTCAGATGCTAATTAGTGTGGAGATAAGAGAGATAGAAGAAGCACAATTGGATATTTCTTTCAAGTATTTGGTTCCCCAATCTCATGGTGTTCGAAGAAGCAACCTGTGGTGGCATTGTCGATGTATGAAGCTGAATATATAGCAGGATCCTATGTTGCATGTCAAGCAATTTGAATCAGATATGTACTTGAAGAAATGGAGGTCAGAGTGAAGAAACCTCTAGTGTTGCAAATTGATAACAAGTCAGCCATAAATTTGACGAAGAATCCAATTCTGCATGAAAGAAGTAATCATATCGAAGCTAGGTTTCACTTCTTGAGGTAAAGGATAAATTGAGGTGAACTTGAAGTTGGGTATTACTCAAGTGAAACACAATTGGCTGACATTTTCAACAAAGGATTGAAGATTGATAGATTCCTGAATT